ACTCTGATGCAAAACACAAGTCTGGCCAGAAGCAAAGCCCATTCTAACAGACCCCAGGCAGAAGGGAGCGTTGGAGCTCACATCCTCAGAGTTATAGAAACTCTCACAAAACCCCGAACAGAAGAGAGACTACTGTAAAAAGAGGAGAAACTGCATTTACCTTCCAATTAACTTGGTCCTAGTTTACACCTGATTTCAATTGGTTTGAGTCTAGTAATTCACATATAGGACTATCACTGCTTATATGTAACTAATATGTACATAGAATGAAAAATGACAGACCATTTGATTCCAAGCAATGATCATAACAGTGTATGAGTTGCTTTCTCAGAAACACTGGCCATATTTCCATTGTCTCCATTCCCTTTACAGTTTCACTGCCAAGTATCTTAAAACCCAAATGGATTATAATTTCAATTATATTATGGTAAGACTATTTGCATTACATTTCTTTACACATGAGGACTGAATTTTATGCGTAATGTCTCGCAGACTATTAGAAATCTCAATGCAAAAACATTCTGTTACTGGAGTGAAATTTATGAATTTTTGAGACTGAGCTAAATTCAAAAGTCTAATTGTGACAGTAACAAATAACTTAATTCTGTTTCCTCCTATAATCAGAACTAGCTACACTTAGATAAAACAATATTATTTTTCCTCATATTTACAGCAAAGTAACTGAAAAGCCATTTTAAATGAAACTATTCCTAATTTCAACTTATTTTCAAAATGTCCATGAAAACTTTATTTCTATATGAATGGCTAAAGAAGCCACCAAGTAACTAAATAAACTTAGACCTGCAAATCTGTTCCAGCTCTTAACAGTGACCCAGAAATTTCCCAGTACCACTATAATATTCTGCATATCCCAGCAAACCACCATAGACATGAAAAGAAAAAAAATAGTGAAAGATATTTTATCAGCTTTTCTGTGCATTTTATTGGCAATTCCAAAAGACTATGATTAAAATAAAATCTATTCACATCTTTACATTTTTACTTACCTAAGAGAAAGAAATCTTGATGACGAATGGAAATTGATGCTCTAACCTAGAAGCACTAGAACTACCTTACCTTGCAAGAAAAAAATCCACCTATTTATACTAACAATCCATCCTTAGCAGTTAAGTTTATAATAGTAAATATATCTTACCAATGCAAAAGCAAATTCCAACAGATATTTTATTTATGTGCAAACTTTGAAAAAAAAAAAACAAAACAAAAACAAGTCAAGCACAACTACAGTGGTATAAGTTTCTAGCCAGCCTTAAGATTAGTCTGTTCTGGAATTTAATTAAAATAATTATTCCAGAAGTTGATGTTATAAATTCTCAAAGATGGATGTTTATGTCATGTGTAGAACATGATGTGGAAACTCTTCACAATGGGAAAGAAGAGGGAGCAATTACAACAATTCATTGCAGAATTGCTAGGTCAGAAGCTGAACTGCATGCAATTACACTGCTGCCTTCTCAAAAACCACCTCAAACTCCTTCAGCTCTACCATATGTAAAAAACAAGAACTAGAAGCTGTATGAAAGGCAACAAATACATCCTCTATAGAGCCCAACCAAGGGCAACTGATTTAACTATGCTTGACAGTGTGACATAACCATTCAATTTAAAAGTTCTCTTTCACTGTACTTTTTTTCCACACATTTAATCTCCGTATTAATGAGATTAACGCTATAAAACACTCCCTGTTGCCTGGCTTCTTGAACTTGAATAAAAACAGACGTCCCTGTCTGACCAAGGCCTACAACTGCTTGCTTACCTTACTCAGAGCATAGAGATCCAGTATTTTTCTCTCCACCACAGGGATTTTTAAGTTGGATCCTTGGAGTTCCCAAAATTTTGCTAACTGATCCAAGAAGTCCAACTTCACTCTTGTCATTGCCTGAAATAAAGACAAATGCGTATGTCCCAAAACAAGTATGACAATAACTTACAGTCCTGAGAAAAAACATGACAAGTTTTTATAGTGTTTACATTTTCAAAGTGCAACTTGGCAAGTAAGGTATTTCTTACTCATGTAAAAAAACCTAGAAAGGAAAATACTGATAAAAAGAAATATCTTTACAAATTGTATATGCTTCTCTCTCTGCCTTCAAGAGACTATAAACCAAACTCCTACCTAACAATTTCTCGGTTTGCAACCAAAATGCATACTTATGAAAAAGTATTTTCATGAATGCGTTCCAGGGAGAAACACAAGAGCAATTATTAAAATATACATTGAAAGGAGGGGGAGAGTTACAAACAGTTTTTATATATGCCTCAACCAGGCAGAAGGGCTTCCTCCCTTGAGTACTTTTGGAGTATTCAAATCACTTTCCATAAGGAGACCATTTACAGGCCAAATGATACATGATGGTGTGGTATTTAAACAGAACAAAGCTTTGAGAAATGTTGTAGAGAAAAGGAAAAAAACAGGACTGAATGGGACTCATACTGCTTTCAAGAAAGCTCCCATACATTTTTAAATCATAAAATTAACCTACTATAATAAGCCTATAAAAAAAAACCTGTTCATTTTAAGGCTTAAAAGGCATTATCAAGACAGTATAAGGTAATGAGGGGCTTCAGAAAAGCAGTAAATATTTTAAGGAAAAAAAAATTAATTGCCTGTGGAGCTCCAAAGGCTAGACACTGGCTGCTCTTACTACACAACATGGTACTTGGCATTCATTTTAGATGTTTCCAGTTGAATGTGAAAAACTCTTGTGGTTATTTTGGGTAATAAAATAAAAACCAGACTTTTCTCAAAGCCGTGGAAAGTTATTTTATATGAACTCTGCCACTGCCAAGTATAAACACTGATGTGGTCTATGGGTTTCTAAAGTCTCCTCCATCCAGAAACCTGCCAAAATGCAAATCTCAAGGAAGGAGACCTACTGTTTTCAGTGAAAACACAGAACTGTATCAACAGTGGAAAAGCTCACCTCCAGTTCATTCAGGCGCTGAATTCGTGGAGTGAAGCGAAAACTTTGTACTTCACATGCAAATGGAGGCTGCCAGTCCTAAACAGACACAGAAAGACATTTCATTGCTTCAGTAAATTTCTCCAAAAAATGCACAAAAGGCCCTAACAATGTCTGAGTAAACAAGCTCCCAAATATAAATGAGTTTCTCAGTACAACCGGTGACATTATTTTTCCAATTTTATGACATTCTCATGCAGTAAAAATAACGTTCTTCCCACAATATTTTAGAAAGATATCCTCACAGAATTAAAAATATGAAAGAAAATGCAGTTCAAAACATTTCAGTGCTCATTACCTCATACTGAGTTTAAATATGAGAGATAACCAACAAGCTGCAGGGTATTTACTTTAAAAAAAGTTCCATATATCCTGCACATTGCAAAATTTTCACGATCAACAGTGACAAAGACTAAATAAAGCAAATTATTACACATTTAACTTTCTTCACGTTTGTCTACAGTCATTTCTATAAAGATAAGACCACCAGTTGGGAGTCCAATTCTTTAACAGAAAAGCAGTCTTAAATAACACTTATCAACACACACAGTCAGCAGTTGGTTCAACCACAAGTGCCTCCCAGCCCCTTCTCTCAAAACTATTACAACATCCAAACAAGTGTAATTCAGCTTTTTAGTACTTATAGTAGATTGTCTACCTGGCAGTAAATACAACATAGTAAGGACACCCCATTGCAGGTGGACAAGCCGCACTAAATATTTATCATTTGCACTGCTGCAGCATGTAAAGGCCTCTAGCACAATGGTAAAATATTTACAGCTTCTAATAATGGAAAAGAATTATAAATCAGCAAGGTTAGTATAAAGTCTCTGATTTAGTCCTTATTGCAGGTTGCAAATCAACTTGACGCATGCATCCTGCAAAACCCTGCAATGCAAACAGCTAAGCAATCATGGAGAAATACAAATGCGTTAACGGCCAGGAAAGTTCTAGTTATTCTCAATGAACAAGATCTGGATCAGTTTCTTGCGGCCTCTCAACCTAAGCCATTCTGCTTATTTTAGAAAGGGCAGCCCCTTGGAGGTCAAGTTTTCACCATGTCATTAAACCAACTAAACATATTCCAGCAACCCAGGCAGGTCAGGAGAGGAAGGATCGTGAAATCTAATCAGCACCCCCCCGTATCCAAGTTGTTCTCAATTACACACTCTTTTCAGTTTTTTTTCATCCTCTCTCTCAGTATGTTCAATCTTCTAATTTTGCATCTATATTTAAAGTTTATTTGTACTTTAATTATGAAGTGATCTAACCACCTTTTGCCAATTTGCCTGACGTTTTCACATAAACAGTTTACCAGGTCACAGGGGAAGTCATCGTAAAATAACGATCAAGTCATCAGAGAGATTAAGCTTCTACCTTCTAAACTGCTAAGTATAAACATAATTTCCCTGCACAAACAGGTTGGCCGCACTTATATTAACAGTTTAAAGATTACATTTTTGTTTGTAAACAACCATGTATTAAAAATACCCTTCCTCCTCCCTTCGCCCGCCCCCCACCCCCACCCCGAGCAAACGCCTGATTTCACCTACAACGCCTTCATAGTTTTCACAAATAGGCTGTTGGGGTTTTTTTAAAAGTAAAAAGAGCGTGAAGTCCCAGACACTGCCATGCACTACTAGCTTCTCACCTGCTCCAAAGAAACCTCTACAAACCCCAGCTCTGAGGTCAAAGACTATACAGGTTCCTTAGAGTCCCTAGCACGGACACCGAGGCCTATGGAAGGCGACACACGAAACCCCAGGCGAGCAGCGGGTGTGGGGGAAAGGGCTCCCCGGGTTCCCACATTCACCGCTCTGCCACCGAGACTCCGGGCCCGCTCAGACCTCCCGGCACACCCTGCCGAGCCCCTCCCGACCACGCTGGGCCCAGCCC